TCTCGTCGACAACCTTGAGATATGTCGAACGACTCGTTTCCAAAACTCTTTTGTCTATGGAACGGCAAAGCTTTGGAGTTCTTTGCCAATACCTACCTCCTCATACTCCACGAATCTTATCTGTTCACTGTTCATCCAAAAAAACACTTCTTTCCGGACTTGTTATACGAAAATTACTATCTTGTCACAATCATGAAATAGTCATAACAACTCCTGATAGGTACTATTTCTCCTGGAAATATCCGTCAATTGACATACTCCAGCTTGTTGCTTTAATTTCGCTCATGACATTGTTCCAAAACTTCTCGCCTATGGCTCGAAGGTTTTGATAAACAATGTCATTCGCGAAATTATTAGGCGACAAGCTGCCGTAACAATAGCCAATATAGTATATCCGTTGTGGTATTACATTTGATAAAATAGTGGATTTTTGATATTTAATTGCAAATTGAATGTTCTCACATGGTTTCTTCTACCCAACTCAACTTGATAAGAAGCAAAATACTAATTTTTTGACAAAAGGACATTGCAAGCCGGTCATTCCGATCCGAGTTCCGATCAAGTGTGAAATTCCTAGTATGCATATTATTATTGGCGGAAATATGAATAGCTACATTCAATTGACGATTGCATGCCATGCAAAAATTGAAAACTGTAAAGTGCAAAAATAAAACGTCCCATTTTTGGAAAATTCAAGTCAAACCATTAGATGTTTGTGTTTATTTTATACGTCCATGAGGTACCATAATTAACGATGAGAATTGAGAGGAAAAAAACAATCACAAAGTATTATTTCAGCACGCTTCAATGGCATACTTACATGCCAAGCAAGAGCAACAATCCATGTGAATTCCATTGATAAATTCCCTTCTAGCAATGTATCGTAGTAGTTGCGATTGAATATTCACTAGATTTAGATGCAGGTTCGAAACGTGAGTCTTAAAACCGTTAGATTCGAGTTCTAACCGTAATAATTATTGTAAATTATTATTGTTGAATTATTGTTTAATATAAAAACACGTGACGTTATCAGCGCATATGGTAGTGTTTCAGATCAACAATATGGTACTGTTTTTTATGTTATTCATTGCATACATGATATTTGATACTGTCCATATTTTCATGGAATAACATCATGTGCTGTAAATATGTGACATGAAAATAAATTCGCTGAATTTCCTCATGTGTTTCTGAATGCGTTCACAGATAAAGAGAAATTTTGCATTGTTAGTCACGAAAAAATAAAATGACAAAAAAACCATAGGCACCTCAGATGTTGAATAAATCTAGATTCTATCGCAAATTTCAAATTAAACTCGAAATTTTGAGTTGACCAATCGGATATCCTAAGGATATAGTGATGTCAGAGCTGATGTTAGAAATAGTGCACAAATATATGAGACTATCACATCCATCGACCCATATCTCACCCATACCTTCCTAACCAAATATAAAATGTGGATAAGCGTCAAAATACCATGAAAATAAAAACGTCAAGCGTGCGTCAAAACGTCGAGAAGTGTCGAAAAAGCATTGAAAAGACTACTTATAAACACCTCAGAGTCAACTTATAAACACCTCAGAAAAGACGTAAAAAATGTGTAGACGCATGGGTGACGTTTTGGTGACGTATTCATGATGTTTTTTTTTACGTTTTTGAATCTTATCTGATACAACTCGTTTGATTGATGATTAATAAAATCTCTTATCATAAATGCTGGTGTTCCGCAAGGATCAATTCTAGCACCAACACTATTTCTACTCCATATCAACGAATTGTTGGAAGCAACTTTATGTCGAGTACACAGCTTCGCGGATGATAGTACCATCCATACTGCCTTCTCTTCCAGAGCTCCAATACCAGCCAGGCAAATCAGATACGAACGAGGGAGAAATGTTAACAACATAAATATGGACTTGGCAACAATTCTCGAATGGGGATTCAATAACTTGGTAGATTTCAATATAAACAAAACACAAGCATGCATTTTCTCTAGAAAAGCCGATCTCACTGTGCCCAACATAAGCTTGTCAGGAGTAATCATACCTTTGAAGACATCCATTTCGATGCTTGGTATTACTATCAGCAATAACCTTTCTTGAGAAAATAACGTGAGATCAATTGCTGAAAGTGCATCCCAAAAACTTGGTTTTCTGTTTCGGGCCAGGAACTATTTCACTTCCAGTCAGCTGCACAGATCCGACCTGTCCTGGAATACTGTTCCCATATTTGGAGTGCAGCATCCAAACATACCCTGAAACTGTTGGATTCGGTCCAAAAAAGGGCAATTCGTCTCGTGGGTGATGCCTCGCTCACAAACTCACTCACTTTTCTGGAACACCGTAGAAAAGTTGGCGATCTGGCTCTATTTTATAGATATTTTCATCGATGATGGTCCTCTGAAATATCAACAATTGGCAGTCCCCACGAGATTAACCCGTCGAGTTGAGGCTTCGCACCCCTTCGTGGTCACTTTGGAGACCTGCAGAACATCTCTTTCCAAAGACTCGTTCATCCAACGAAGAGCGAGGCACTGGAACACTTTGCCAAGATAGGTGTTTCCCGAGGCATATAACCTACAGAAATTTAAGAAGAACACCAATTCCTACCTTATTTCCCTTGGTTCTCACGATGTTCTCTGAACATCACAGGATATCCCTTTCCGTGGGAACCAGAACATAAAAAAAACAAAATATAAATTCTATCGATTTTGACAAATATTGTGGCGAGTATAGTTTCGTCAACTACCTATGTATAGATTTTGTTGATTTTTTGCTATATACAACTATAGGAGGAAGCATTAGAAGTATTATTGTATAGGTATATCACCAATATGAAACTCCCTTTGTAACCAAGTTCGCCTCTTTATAATGCGGAAATTCTTCCTTTCGCAAAAATGTAGTTCACCGACTATATATGTATACAACAGAAAGAGAAGGACGAAAAGGTAATAGGTAATTTCACTCCAGCAGAAACCTTGCAATACCTCAGCACAAAACAAAGCTTCGACACCGGATTTGGGTGTCGTTTTTTTTCCCTTTTCATTATTCTCAGGCGTACTTAATTTTCTCCCAAGGTAACCCGTACACACAATGAGATCGTTGTCTTTTCCACAGGCCATAGGCGTAGTATGGTAATTTGGTGATGACATGCAAATTGTTATTTTTATCTTTCTTTATTTCGCACACACAGGGCCATCCACCATAAACGTCATTCATCGTTGTAGGATTATTTTTTCATCTTTATTCGTTTTAATATTTCACTTTCTGATAAATTAATTTCATTTCCTACGCTTATGAGGTTCTTTTGACCCAAGTGGGAATCTGCAGGCGGATGACTCACGGTTTGCTGTCTGCTTTTATTGTCATCGAATTTGGAGTGGTCTTCGAGGATCATCTACCTTGAGTCATCAAATGTATAAAAGTATATGGGAAGGGGGTAAGATAAAAAGAGAAAGATATAAACAAGTAGGTATAGAAAAATAGAATTGGAAAGAATAGACACAATAAAAGGGCGGAAAATGGAAGAGATGCAAGCAAAATATTTGTTTTACTAGGCAGCAAAGTTTAGTACATTGACTGTCAATCTACTTTGCTGCCATGTATGAAACATGTCATTTTTTAATCTCTGTTAGAAGTCCATCGTTTTCCAAAGTGGAGTACAGTGGTTGATACTGAATAATACACAAAGTCATCTATACGACAATTTATTGTGATGACTTTTTTGTCCAAATGTTATAGAACCAATTTTATGTAATTTTTTATTGAAAACTGATTTACCAATTTCATTCAAATTACTTGGAACGTTGTATAGCAACAGACTTTTTCTGCCTAGGCAGAGAAAATACACTTTTGCTGCATGTTGAGTGTGATAAAAAAGCCACTTTCTATGCCGTTTGAAGAAGATGATTATAGAATGGAGAAAGACAGGAAAAAGATAGGGCGTGAAAAGAATAAGGACGCAGAATTTTCTGCACTGAAAACATACTTTAAGCAATTTTTTATTTGAACTGATGTATTACTTCACCCATTCACCGCTGTCACAGTCTATAGATTCAGAATATTAGTCACTTCATTTGCAAAAAAGGTAGATGAAGAGAACAAAGATAGAGTTACGAAACAATAGAAACATCAGTTTCCGTAATCTCAATAAAAAATGAAGAAAGAAATGGAACTTTCTCTCACCAGATAGGATGTTTTGTCACCCTATATTACCATATAGTGGCGTGATATCTAAAAGTTTACTACCTACGAGTTCAAATGAAAAGCTTAGAATGAATACTGTCAGCTTTCATAGACTGGCAAAGTGGAGTGAGACAAATAACATCAAAAGATGATATCATTTTTATTTTTCATGCTCTTCTTTTGGATGTTCAACAGATATAATTCAATGTTCAAAGTGGCAAATAGCCAGAAAAACAGTTGTTTTCTGTTGAATATTCAGAATGATATTATGTGCATAAACATATTTGTATCTGAAGGAGAATGCAAATTCTCAACTTCGGAAGATTTTGTATTCAAATTCTTATCGTGTGTTCAATAGATATAATCGAGGATATAATTCAATGTTCCAGAATTTCTTTCTACGTCCTGTATGATGAATATAAATTTGTCATACATCCAAAAACAAAAGAATGATTCAATTGATCACATTGGATTTGTTTACTAGGTGTGTTCGTCCATTTCAATTCCTCATTTGATGTTCTCCATAATTATTATTTCTCAAATTATTTTATTCTAATTCTCATTTCATCTTATTCGCTGTATGAACCCAATGTGAATTCATTGAAAAAAGTCTGAATTCGAGAATAAAGTCCTAAATCAGAGGAAAGACTCCGAAGTCAGAGAATAAAGTCTAAAATCAGAGAAAAAATTCCGAAGTCATGGAAAAAAGTCTGAATTCAGTGACAGAATGAAATACACGAAATACACACAACAGTAACCCTTCTACGCTCCTCGATTCGAATCCAAATAACTAGAGCCATTCTAATTCTTTTCAGAATCCAACAATGCCATCTCGTCACGTCTTGTCCCCGGCCCACCGACTTCCTGCCCGATCCGGCAACGCCGCTCGCCTCGCCTCGCGATGACCGTATTCCGCCACCTGTCGGCGGGATGACGGACTGGGAGGAGATGTGGGCGCGAGCGCTCTCCAAACCGCCGACGTGCAGATCGCTGCAAGATCTGCAAGTGATCTACTACGGCCTCAGCGGCCTGGAGGCGCTGCAGTCGCTCAGGGACGCCAGTTTGCGAGCGTTGTGCAAGGTGGTGCGCTACGAGAAGCATCTGGCCAACGATGTGCTCTATTAGTGAGTGTGGTTTTTTGTTTAGCGGTTTTGATTTTGGTAAAACTGCATTTATTATGCGATGGTTTTTTTTTTCGAAAATTTTTTTTGGTACTTACGTAATTTTGTCTGAAAAACACGAATTTGACATTGAAAATGTGAACCACCACTTTTCTTTGGGTTTATTAATTTTTCATAGAATTCATTAAACTTGATTAATTCTCCTTGGAATGAGACTATAGACATATTTTTTGAATAATGCAAACATTGCAAACATAACACCATGCAACAAAAACATATTCATTGATTTCGGACTTTGTTCTTCAAATTCAGAATTTCTCATCCTTGAATAATTATCATCAGACTTTTTCTTTGGATCCAGACTTTTTTCTTCGAATTCAAACTTCTTTTTTCTTTGATTTCTGAGTTTATTTCATCAATTTAAACTTCTCTTCCAAATTCAGTGTTAATTCCATTTTGAAAAAGCACTATCACTCAAGATTAGTTGACTGTAAGAAGGCAGCTTACGATAAATTCATTGGTGAGTCTGACAACAAGGCCCGGGACAGTTGGAGGCTTGTTAACTTCGAGAGAAATAAATCGAGGAAAAAAACATGTGATCTTACTATACCTGCTAGCTCATTCAATGATTATTTTTCCACTATTGCAGAAAACCTGATTGGGACTATTGAAAACAATTATGTAGACCCTGAGAGTTTCTTGAAGGGTTTGCCTACAACATGTACATCCTTCTTTCTAGAACCAGTAACGGAACATGAAATGATCGAGGCTGTGCGCAATTTGAAAAACTCAAAATGTACCGATGTGTACGGCATGAATAGTGAATTCTTGAAACAAACAATAGATTTATTAGTCTATCCATTGGTTATTCTGTTCAATGCATGCATTACTGAAGGAAAGTTTCCCGATATTTTGAAGGTCACTAAAGTTATACCAATATTTAAGAAAGGGGATGTTTCACAGATTGCAAACTATCGTCCGATATCTATTATTCCAATAATATCGAAGGTTTTTGAGATATTACTGAAACAGAGATTCATGAAATATTTCGAATCTAATGGACTCCTCAACTGCTGCCAGTTTGGGTTCAGAAGTAAATGTAGTACCACCCAGGCGGTTTTCAAAATCGTTAGTGAGGTCGTCGAAGGCCTTGAGGGTGGCATGGATGTATCTATTACTCTATGCGATCTCTCGAGGGCCTTCGATTGTGTCTCACACGAGGTTCTTATTGAGAAGTTACGTTTTTATGGTGTCAGAGGCATACCACTCGATCTGTTTCAATCTTACCTCCACAACAGAAAGCAAGCAGTATATATTAATGAATCCCATACAGATTTTTCCAATATTCTACACGGGGTACCTCAGGGATCTGTTTTGGGCCCATCATTATTCATCGTTTATGTAAACGATCTGTTTCACTCTTTGTTTCCAAATAAGTGTGTAGCTTATGCGGATGACACAACTTTGCTCAATACTGGAATTGATGCAGACAGTCTCTCTCTCAGTTTGGCAGATTCTTTCTGTAGAGCACAGGAGTGGTTTAGTGCCAACAATTTGAAATTGAATAATGATAAGACACAGGAATTGTCTTTTTCGACTAGAAATCCAGGTAATGGAAAAACTGTTAAACTTCTTGGAGTTGTAATAGACGACAAACTAACTTGGTCATCTCATGTTGATCAGCTATGTCATAAACTGTCAAGTTCGATATATCTCTTGCGTAATTTGAAAATCCAATTATGCTTCAATACTGTTCGAACATGTTATTTTTCATTTTTTCATTCTCACATAAATTACAGCATACTCTTATGGGGAAACTCTTCTTACGCTATGAAGGTTTTCAAAATGCAAAAAAGAGCTATCAGAATTATCGTTGGTGCTGGTTACAGAGATCACTGTCAACAAATATTCAAGGAACTGTTTATTATGCCTATACCATCCTTATTCATATATGCTACAGTTATTGAAATACACAAAAACAGGAATTCGTTTTCTACCAACTCTGATTTTCATAATTACCATACTCGTTATGCAAATAATTTGAGGCCATTACGTTACAGACTGAACAAATCTCAGAATAATTCACTCGATATCAAACTTTATAATGTTTTGCCCCAGGAGCTCAAGGTTTTGAATTTGAATTGTTTCAAATCAAAATGGGCTTATATCACAAAAAAATTTTATTTCATAATTCGATAGAACTCACCCAAACTAGCTCACCACCGCAAACCGTTTCTTGCTGTGAGCTCCCTACGTTTTATAAAAAATTATTGAAATCCCCGATTTTTCGGACCTCTGAAAACGAGGCGATGATGTGACGTCAAAACCCTAATACTGAAACAAGACTATTCCAGACAGAGATGAATGATACATGATTTTTGACAAATCAATTCTAACCTAGATTGACTTTTTGCAGCTCCATGTGAAACGGGTCAACAAAGCAATGTTGCTATGTATATGAAATAATATATTGGATTATTGTGAAATTGTAATGGTGCAAATGGTTTTGAGATTGAGACATTTCGTTGTCTAGAGATTGTTAATACTCCAATGATTCAACCTACAATCGACAACTCGAATATGTTTTTCTGCAGTAGTGGTACTGGATATCAAAAGATATTTCAATATCGATTTCGATTTCTCGGATATTTTGTTTGGATGATATGGCAACAGTAATAAGTGTCAGGATAGGAATTATAAACATCTCAGTCAGGAGAGTGTCAGTTTCAACCATATATCTACTATTTCTATATATGGCGCATCGCCTATACGATATCTCAACAAAAATGGGACCAAAATGAGAGGTACTCTTTGAATCTATGAGAACGAAAAGTGAAGGATGGAAACAGCCATATTGGTTTGACAAATTTCCTATTATTTTTTCCCTACGTCGGTATCAACGCCTATTGGTCGATTTCATTACCTATAGAGACAGAAATGGGTCCCGCTTTGAGGAGAGCTATGATTCATATATCAGTAGTAGATATATATGGTTTATATATATATATATGGCGAGATGGGGTTTCTACGTCATAAGAGGGTCTCCGTTTTCAGAAGGTACTATCATTTATGTCCAAAAATAAAACATTCCAGTTAATTTTTCGATCGAATTATGTCGTCAATCATTATTTATGTATAAAAGAATCATTATAAACATGGTTTGAGTTAAAAGTTCTACTAAGGTGTACACGCCCATTGAAACGTCATATTCTCCGTCACTGTTTTTATTCCATTGACGAATATCTGAGGACGCCCCTCGATGAGTCCTTATGAATGATTGTTATTCAACTATATGTCACTGTTTCCAGTTTGTTTTATTACTAGATTCTTTGTATTTGTATGTATGACTTTTATTCTACTACTTTTAAGCGTTTTTTATTCCACTACATTTTAAAGTGATTTTTTATGTACTACATTTTAACATGTCTATTGTATCTGACCTGCCAAAAACATAACATTTGTAACTTGGTGAAATAAATATTCTATTCTATTCTATTCTAATTCACTCCGATTTCATAATTATTTCAACATTTTTGAATTCACACTTGTTTCTGTGAATTTCTTTGAATCCAAATGGACTTTTCTTTGAATTCAGATTTTTTCTTTGATGGATTCACTAATTTTTTCATGTCCAGCGTTTCTTCGATTCCTGATTTTTTTCTTAGAATTCCCTGTTTTTCTCTGAATCGAAATATTTATCTCTGAATTCAGACGCTTTTCTTCGAATTCACGAGCTTACTCTCCTTTGAAGTCAAACATTTTCTTCTACACTGCATTTTTCTCAATTTTTTTCCAATTTGATTTCCTCAAAATTGAATGTCCCACGTAATTCAATCAATTTCGATTTTTTCAGCACTGGAGAACTCTCGACATGTTGGTACGTCCTACTATCAGGATCTGTTTTCATCGATGGATCCATGTTTTTACCAAGATCCAGGTAAGAAATACTGATTGAACAGTTTCAGTTTCCACCGCATGTTTCAAATGACTTCAACAAATTATTAAAATAAATGAATGAACCATATAACTTTTCATCATCAGATTTTTGAGTATCTCACATTTACATGGAAACATCAGACGTTGAATGAAATTTTAAAAATAACCCTTGCCATTTCCATCATAATCAATATCGAAAAGGATTGGTAATCTTAAAACCAATACCATAATTCTGTTCAAGTTCTTGCTAATTGAATGCACCCAAAACACTTGAATCAGGTCATAAAATGCTAATGAAGTGTATCCTTGGATAGATCGACATTGTGCCTAAGCGATGAATAGTACATGGGCTCAAACAAAATATACCAACATAGCTCAAGAGTCGTTACGATTTTTTTGGGAAGCAGTGTACATATTTTCTGTCCTGTAGGTACTCCCCTGCTGCCTGAGACTAGTTATGACAAACCCCACATGAAATCCTACAGTTTTCATTTTCATAATAATTATTTCATCTCGTCCATAAAAAGAGAACAATCAAAATCGCAGACGTGGGATGGACCTAGACAGTGACGTAGAATTCACTTCCAAAGATGCCATAATAAATCGAAGCTCCGCATTTTCATCTGATTTCAGATAAGTATTAAAAAATGCTGGTTTTAAAAACAGAAGCTGAATAAACAATGCAACTTTTGTTTTCGAATTGAATGATGAGTATTTATGTAGGATATTTCTTTCTTCGTTGATTTGAGGCATTTCCACAAAATATTCAAATAAGCAACTACTTGCCTGGCAGTGTCACGAAGTAAATTGAATTATATCTTATTGATTCGTATAGACGAATACAATTGCAAGTGTTTCTTTCCTAAAGGCCGAATCGTGGTTAAATTGAGGTCAGGTATAGCCTAACCACCTGTTGACAGGGATCATACAGGTGATAAGTTTTGATCGATAATGAATAGTTTCGACACAAAAAAATCCTAAAATTGAAAAATCTCGATTTTGAACACCCTATATCTTTGTAATCATTCCTGCTAGAACCCAAGTGTGATACATTGATGAAATCAGCTCCTCAGGAAGAATCTAAAAATGCAATAAAATACAGGGTGCTCCATTTAAAATAACGAAGTTGCTAGTTGTTTCTGATAGAAGTGGCAAAACTGTATCGATGTTAATATTTTAGACGGATAGAGAATGTTCAATTATCAAAGCATCCCAATTTGCAGAATGTTCTGTACGAGGGGTGGCTCACTATGGTAATATGGTGTACATCATGGCAGTAATATAACTCCAGTAGAGTATTATACTTCCTGAAGTACCAGTATTACTGGTATCATCGAGTAATATTTGGTAATATTTCATATGACAGGTATTATAGGAAATATCAGGTAGTAATATTGGAATATACATATATATATACATTTCAGCAACTAATTTGCCAAATTGAGTAGACCTAAATAGTTATTTGTTTTACATGGCAGAAAATCACAAGATTTAACGCTGCGGCTGGTTTTTCAGGCGTAGCCGAGGTTAGGAAACCAGCCAAGGCTTTGAATTTTCTTTTCTGCCATGTGAAACATTTGTGTTATCACTCAATGTATTTGTCAATTTCAATTACCAATTTGATTCTAATTATTACTTGGGACGTTGCACAGTAACAAACTTTTTCTGCCCAGGCAGTAAAAGTGCCTGTTAAGTGACATTAAAAAGCCATGTTCAATGTCATTTGGAGAAAATTACTATTTATTTTATGTTGCAATACCAATACTTTCTAGATCTATATACTAAAGAATAGTAACCCATCTGAACTCGTCTGAACTGTTCAACAAACTAAACGTCCTATAATAGAAAATGTCGGCAAAATTCAAAATCGAATTATGAATCACAGTTGGCTTGCCCAATCTTTCAGTTACTCGTCATAGCTATGTGAGACTACACAAATTCCAGATGAACGTTCTCTAGGATAATTAGAGTAGGTCGTATCAGTAATACTCAGGAGATTTTACCATAAACTAGGTAATATCTAATAATACCAATAATAATCAAGATATTACTGAATATTAATGATTTTGTGAAATATCACCGAACATTACCAACTAATGCCAAATATTATCAAATATTACCGAATATTACCAAATATTCCCAAAAATTACCAATTATTTCCAATTATTACCAAATATTACCAAATATTACCAAATATTACCAAATATTACCAAATATTACCAAATATTACCAAATATTACCAAATACTACCAAATATTCGGGAACTTTCTAAATATTACTAATATTACCTTCCAAATAATGGGTAGGAACCTGCTGAACCACATTGATTACTAATTTATACAGGTTACCTCGCTTATCACTATCATTAATTCAATTATTATCATTAGAAATGTCTACATATTCCGAGACATATTCCGACAACCAAACTGAGATCGAATTTTGAATCGATTTACTCATAGATCCAATAATAAATTTCTATTCGGTTTTCACAGTTGGCTAACACTATCTTCCAGTTACTCTTCAGAGCAATGTGACACTGTACACAAAAATTTCTGGTGATGATAATTGAAGTAGTGTAAAATTGCAGCATTGTCGTTATGATTCCGTTTGAGCAATTTTATTTTCTTCGACCATGAAAAATCATGATCGAAAAAAAAATTATTGTCATCAATAATTAAAATATTTGAAGTTTATTTTGTTCATCAGTTTAGTTGTCGAAATATATAGACATTTCTGCTGATAATAGTTGAATTGATGATAGTGATGAGCGAGGTTACCTGTAAACATTATTAATTTACGAGGTAATTAATGTCATTTATCAGGTACCTTCCCATCATTATTTGGAAGGTAATATTGGTAATATTTGGTAATATCTGGTAATATCTGGTAATATCTGGTAATATCTGGTAATATCTGGTAATATTTGGTAATATTCGGTCTTATTTGGTAATATTTGGTGATATTCCGTATAATCAGTAATATTTAGTAATATCTTGAGTATTATTGGTATTATGGTAATATCCCCTAAATATTACTGATATTACCTGATTTGGTAATATGGTGTACAAAATTTAGGCAAGTGAGCCACCCCTCGGTTCTGTATTTTCGTTCTCCAGATACTTCTAATAGGCCATCTACCGTGGATTACCCTGTATATACACTGTTGATGGCTTTTGTTGTGCTAGTTATGAACAATAAGCCAATAACATCGTCTCCGAGAAAGAACTGCAAGTCCTTTCATCTCCCATTCCACTTCGCGCTTAAGTAAATTACTAAACAACCACAGATTTCGCAATTAATCAAAATCAAATCACAGGATTAGACTGACAGATATTTGATTACTTCAAAAGAATAATAAAGATCTCTGCAAAGCAGGTGTAAATCCTGTTGAAAACTTCAAATTTCCCGTCGATAATTCTCTGATTTCAATATAATATGTAATATCTTGTCGATATTGATACGTCCTCTTTTCTGTCACAGAAATAAATAATCTATTATACACAGGAAAATATTAGATTTTAGCTCACGAGCTAAAATCTACAATTTTTTCCCTTGTATAATACATAATTATATTTCGAAAATTAGTAAGCTATCCTAGATAGATGAATTTAAGCGAAAATGAATTCTAGGTAGGTACGCCTCTGGTGCACAAGACCATGTTGTCAAAGCGATCCAGATATTCCGAAGACGTGGGTAGATTTTTGCATTTTTCGAAATTCTGAAACTGGTAATTGGTAGAATTCACAAGGTCACTTTTCGTCATGAATCAGTGAAGGTTACAAACTAATCGATCTAACGGAAACATTAATTAAGTTGTTCTATATCTATATAGGTAGGTGTACCTAGAGTGGTGTAGCTACCTAAATTTTAGTTTGTTTTTTCAAGGTACCTAGCTAATTGAAGTAATAGTTCAGTTTCAAGATTTGAATTCTCTAGTTCCTCGTTGATTACGAAAAAATCCATAATTATTATAGGTTGATATCCATGTTTCATCGTGGTTCTAGTTCCATCACCACCACAATCTATGCCATTACCTACCTTTCTGTTTCTACTTCATTCATTAAAGCGTTGCCAGAATGTTCAGTCAAAATAATATATTTTCATATGGACATCGTATTGTTTATTTCAACTGGTAGTATTGGTGCTAGTACTTTTAATGATATGAAGCTTGATAACGTTAGTGATATACTTTTCATCATTTTTCAGATTTATCCGGGCAGAAATAGAAAATTCTGAAACGATATCTTGTATATAATGTATATTCTCTCAAATCTTCTCTTCGACAGTTTTTCCTGAACCATATTGATTCTTCGATCTCATGTTTGAGGAATATAACAAAAATATGAAACATTCTGAGACAATTTCTGTTTCGTCATCATTAGTATTATTTAATTCTGTAAACTTTGGTATTATAATGTCAAATATATTATCGCCTAATAACGAGGTTGGTTGGTCACGTGTAGGTCAATTCGGCTTCTGTATTGGTACAGCAAGTCCGATATTTTTTAGTAAACAAAAAACATCGCTGTGATAGAGGAGAAACCGTGAAAATGGTCAATTCTGATTGGTTCTCAAGAATAAGAGTGGAATAGTCAGTAAAAAATTGCTTGAATGTATTTTAAAGAGATTAATACACAACTACATTCTACCTATGAAGATTGAAGACAAATCTATTTGAAATAAAAACGGCGTTGTACCTATCAAGAAAATTCGAGGATAATCTGAAAGTGACAACTGACAGTTGTCAAAGTAGGTACATATATCAAACTATCATAAGTGTCGTGTTGAATAAAAGCAAGGTGCATATTTACCAGTGATTGGGAAAGCTAGGTAGCATTTTATCGATACAAATGACCGTTGATTGATCGATTTCGATAGAATAGGTAAGTATTTATTAATCAATGTATTTCAATCAAATACCGAAATTAATTTGACACGGAGAAAGTTCCGGACGTCTGGCAACGCTGTTCACAGTAGTTTACGAATATTCCGCGTACGGCG